GATCAAATAATATACGGGCACTAGCAACCATATGGCAGAATATTTAGCACCAAGGAAATTAATTGGCTACATGCTATTAGGTGAGTAGTTTGAGACACAAACCAAATGTACTCTCTGATCCTAATTTTGTTCTATAAAAAAATGTCAAAATATTGGTCTATCTACATGTACACTTAAGTACAGAAAATCCATAAAACCTATTTCCTGAGGCTTGTTTTGTTGTTTTATAAGCAGCAGAACACTTATTTTCTATTCTTTCTTTTTGTAGAATTTCCTAAAATGATGAAATTCAATTTCTTATAATGAATATGATTATTCTTCAGTAAGAAAAAGTTTATCTTGTGTGTCTGGATTAACTTTCTGAAATATCTAGAAGGTGCCACACATATTCAATAAATCATTTCTCCATTCATAGATATTTGCAATATACATTTTTCATGTGATTCTGCTTTTTTAGTAGGTTTTGTGTGAACTTATTCTCCAACATGAAGGAAGCCACCTCACACAACCTCACCACTTAAATACTATCTATACACTGATGCTCCCAAGTTTATGTCTCCACCTCTGGTTGCCAATGAATTCCAGCCATTCCTTTGGGTGTTTAATAGGCATCTCGAATAAAACAGAACCATAATTACTAATCAACCCCAACAGCCCAACTCCAGATGGGCTCCACTCCCAGAATTCCTTTTTTCTGGTGAAAACCTGCTGATTGTCCTCACTCTCTCTCACCCCAATTTCCAATTCATTAACAATGTCTGATAATCCCACTCCTCAAATTTATCTAAATTTATCTACTTTTCATATTACTCCATCTTTTTATTCTAGTCCCAGTTACTCTGATCTTGTGCCTGTGTTATTTTCTTCTATTCCTGCTCTCCAGGATCCACTTTCTATAATGAAGCCAAAATTGACTTTATAAAACATATTCAATTGTCGCATTCTCTGCCTACAGCCTTTAATGGTTTCCTGTCCCACTTACAGTAAGACCCAAACTTCCTACTATAGGCTACCAGATTCCTCCTAGTTTGGTTAATATCTGTCTCTCTTCCATTCACTCTGCTCTGGCCGCAGACCTCTGTTTGTTCTCTGAATACAATAAACCTATTCCTGACACAGGTCCTTTGCACGTATTTTTCCCTCTGCCCCAAACAGTTTTTCCTAATGTTCTTATGATTCTTTTCTACTCAATGAGTATCAACCCAAATAACCCTCTTTGAGGGGCCTCCATTAGCACACTCACAAGTGCCTTTCCCTACCTCATCGTCTTCTGTTTTCTTTATAACATTTGTCAGCTACAGTTATTGTATTTGTCTACTTTTTCTTAGAAGATAAATTCCATGTGAGCAGAGTTGTGTCATTGTTTACCCCTCTGATCTCAGAGCCTTGTGCAGAACAAGACCCATAGTAGGAACTTGATAAGTTTCATCAAATATTTTGAATTAACTATAAAGACATTTTAAAAGTGGCCTTTTTTGAAGGAAAACTTTAAGAGTTTTGAAAACTTTGAACAAAAAAGGCATAACTTTGGGGAAAAAGCAATAAATTTTGAAAACATTGAATTACCCACATGTTCAGTGACTCTAACTGCAGAGGTTACAGGGCAGAAAATGAAGTACAGATAAATGACAAGACAAAAAGAAAATGTTTTGGGGCTGATGTGTGAAGTCAGTTTTTGCTAATAATTAGGGCTAGCTTATTTCCATCTATTCACATATAGGGGGAAAGGACAAGAGGAACATTGGCTTATCCTTAAGAGGGAAGAGATGGAATTTTCATAGCCCACTGTTTACACATCCCTTAACAGCCATCACAATAAAAAACAGACTAAGTTTTATCCAAATGCAAATAAGTGACCTATAGATTAAATTCTGAAATAAATTCCTACTTTTATTTCCTCCCTTCCTCATACTACTCCAAAATTAAGAAATTTTCACTTAAAGAAGCCAATTTTCTGAACCTTTTCAGACCTGACACTGTGGTGAGCCCCTTTAACTGCCCCTTGATACTGACGGTTCGGTAGCCGTCCCTGCAGGGCACGCACATATCATCGGCATTCAGAAGTCTGGCAAAAATCAAAAGTTTCTCTTTACCTCTAGGAGAGCTGGTTTAGGGAAGCGGATGTCCTAGGACATTAGAGGTAAATATTTTAGTGACACCTGTATAAAATATGACTTTCTGTTATCCTCTATAAAAATCTAAGTTTCAGTTATATCATCCTAGTAGACTTTAAAAGGTATAACTCAAAGGTAGCATTTTATTTTAGATTCTCTTATAACCCTAGAATGAAACTAAAGCATGAATAATTAGAGACCTGCACACTAATATAAAGGTGATAAAATGAGACTCAGTTTAACACAAAAGCTAAAAAAAAAAAGTGTGGTTATTTCCCTCTGCCACCTTAAAAAGGATATGACTTTGAAACCCACGAAACCGGAGGGGGGCAAAGTTATGCCGAATGGGCAACACTATCAGTGAACACTCATCCTAAGAGTGCTTATAAACATTTATATTTTGAGTAACAATCTATTTCTTTGTGAATACATATTCTTATATCTGTGAGCTTTTCCCAATGTAACAGCTTCATTCTTATTACCTCTAACATGGTTTCCATCTGTTTGTATCATGGATACATTCCATAAAAACAGTTTCGATACATACCCAGTTGGCATATGTATTTATGCACTCCCAAACAATATGCATGCGCCGTTTCACTGTTATATATTTTATACACCTCAGTACAGCCAAAAAAAAAGAACAGAACATGGTAGAATAAATAGACACCAAATCCCCCTTTTTCTTCCTGCCCTCTCGTGGATCAGCTTGTGCATTCCGTGAGAAATGTTGACTCTGTGTTGGAAACCACTGAGATTTTGCTGTGTCTCAGTAAAAGGAACTGGTTAATATTAAAGCTCTTTTGATTCTGTGATCAATGACACTGGAGTTTGAATACTCTGTATCTACATACCGTATCACAGTGCATGACTCTTGAGGTGCCACCTAGACCGAGACATTTGTTTCCCCAGCGTCAGGTAATCTTGGCTGGCGGTGACTCAGCTAAGTTAACACGCCCCCACCTCCACCCCTGCAGCCGGCATCCAGTGACTATCAGTGAGGGAGGAATAGAGACCCACATCCTTGTCTCAATTCAGGACAACTTGAAAGGGCCGCCCAGCTCCAGAGCTCCTACTGGCTTTGGAAGAGGCTTCTGGTACAGCTACACTACAGTCCAGCTGCTGCCTCTGAACAGTGCTATTTCCTCTAGTCCTTCACCGACTGCAAGGACCCCCCTGCCATAAATCTACTGCACACAAGTGTTTATCGCAGAGTCTCTTTCCTGAGGAAGCCCAGCAAAGACACTTACATCGGCAGATACTGATACATCCAGTTTGCTTATGACTCGAGGTCCTAATAGATTGCTTACTGAGCCCCTGGAAATTCAAGAATTAAAGTAATATCCTAAATTTTCCTAAATCCTCATTAGGCACTCACTGACTAGAGATTAATTCCACCTGCAGGTCTTCTTTGTTTTTCTTACGGGCAAGCAAGATTATTCCAAAAATTTGGCAGGAAGAGTGACTTCCCTCTTCTGAGTGCCTCAGCAACCTTCACCGATGGGCTATTATCATTGCTTCTGAGGACAATGCTGACCTCAGGCATTTGTCCCAGGCTCCTCTGACCCTTCCTTCACGTCACTTCAGCTCCTGATCTAATTCCAGGACTACTCAGTTCCAAGAAATGTCTTAGAATTGGGCCCACTAGCAGCATAAGGTACATACTTACATTACCTTGGATCTCTTTGAGGGGATTGGTTTAAGTCACTAGTAACCATGACACCACTTTTCTTATACTTTTCTCAGTGTTAACTTAGTTGTGGTTCAGCCACCCAGGATAAGAGCATTTTCCCAACACACCAGTCATGGAATAAGCAAAGTCACTAATATTGCCTCCTGGAAGGAAGGAATTTCTAGTATTCGACATAGGCCTCCATATACTATTTCTACAGCCTTTGCTCAAGATGTAGAGACTCTCATAAAAATGGAAAACCAAGGCTCCACAGAAACTCCAAAAATGGAATACCAAGGCTCCACAGAAACTTAAATTTTGCAGAACAGTTATGAGAGGCGTACCAGTGAATCTAGAATACATTGATATCAATAAAACTCTGTACTATGCTTAGATATATTTTTATGACAGAATACTGGAAATACATATTCATGACCCATATGAAATTTTGCTTAGAAAATACTGAAAATAAATGCACACATAATTTGTTGATAAAAGACCAATAACTAAAAAAAATAGTCCTTCCTATCCCAAACTCAAATAGATGCAGAATGGAGGGTGGCCTTTATAACATGTAACATAGTATCTATTTCTGATTACTAAAATAGTTTAATGAAATATTCTTTTGACAGATATCATCATGTTTCATATGCCATGTATTAAAGACATGAGTATATACTCACTTGACTAAATAACGTAATTAAAGGTAAAACAGAAATATTTCATAAGCAATCATTAGATTTTAAGATAACATATAAAAGGTGATACAGAAGATAAACACAAGAATGCAAGTTATTCATTTATGACTTAACTTTGTTGAAAATGCAGCAAAAACCTTTATAGCAAGGCTCAGAGAGTTACCTGGAAGGTCAGTGCTGCATGTTTTCATTAACGGTCGCAGCAGTTGCATGTCTGAAGCTTATTCATTAGGGATGAAGCTCACCCTGGTAGTCTCATCACTTTTTACAATGCTGAGGCTCCTGCTCGTCTTTACAGATACAGAGTGACCTCATTTAAAATACTGCTGTATATTGACTCTCTAAGAAAATACCTCAAGCAAATATTTCCAAAATTCTAGATGGAAATAGTTTATTCCAATACTCAGTTTTAGGTAGGTTTATCAGATATGATTAACAGATTTATCATTTATAATGGAAAGCAACCACTTATTATTTGCCATTGAGTATACCAATAAGAAGAAGGTTAGCACTTACCTGAATAACATGCTTCAGTTTATCAATAATCTGATTTATCATAGGATCCATTCCTTTGACTTTGACTTCAGGATTTCCAGTTTGGGCTTTGATTCCATTTCCAACCACATGCTGGGTATAGCTAACAAAGTGAAAAGTGAAAAATATATGACTTAGTGACCAGGTCAGAGTATTATTTGCCACAACTATTTGAACAGACTTGAGTTCTGAATTTCTCTCCTTTAGGAGTATTTACAATGTATTCTTGGAACAGAAGCTGGCATGACTGAATGCTTTTCCTGATAAAATATTTAGTTTGCAAATATAAACTATTCCAATGCTTTTCTCTAAAAAGGTGCAACCAAAAATTGTGTTTTTAATACTACTTACCAATATATTAGAAAAGATTGCTATCCATTTCCCTTTGCTCCCAGTCTTGTTGTATTACACATATGTTGAATCCATATTATCTGGGCCAATTTACTTCATTTTATACAGTATATAGATAAGTCTCAATATTTTTACATATCAGACAATAAAAGAATATATATATTTATATATATGTAAATACATTTTAAATTGCACAAGTCAAAATCATAAACATTATAAATAAATAAAGCTGACAAAATCTTTTGCAAATAGAGGAATCATAATCAGCTCTCAACAAGGTTCACCTAAACAAAGATCTATAAATCATGTTGCATGTAATATGATGATTTCACAGGTGGTTAAAGTCATTGCAAATCACCTGTTTCCCCAAATGACAATCATGTAATGTCAATGTAGTAGTCATACACTTACAGACTCATCAGTCACAAAGATGCATTAGGAGTTTCCTCCTACATTCAAGTCCTATACTGGATGCCTGGCATAATTAGGAGATATAAGATATAAGACTCAATTACTGTCCTCACGATGTTCACTATCTACCTGGGAGTGTATGTGTCAATTAACCTGTCCATTCATGTATTCAAATTACATTTTACCATATTTTAAAAGTTCTTAGAAGATTCCAACAATGTAACCACCCTTACTTTCTTGACAGTATAGTGTAGCATAAAGAAGAGTGAACAATTGAAAAACTACACTCGGAATGAAGAACATGTTCAGGATGCTATGGGTGTAGCTGGGACAGTATATGCAGAGTGAGAGTGTAAGTACTAAACACTGAGTATACGGAGAAGTCTGTTTGGACTAAGATGACTGGGGGTAAAGAAGTTAAAGCTTGAGGTAACCCTTGAAGAATGAAGGTAAGAACAGGTCCTAGACTCCAAGACAAAGGATGACATCCCACAGAGGAAAGGGTGAATGCATGTGAACAGCACACACAGAGTAAAATAACTAGGCTTCTGTTTACCCAGGGAGAATAGAAATAGGGGAAAGGCGGCCATGCCCTGAGACTCCACCCTGTTTAAGACTCTTCTGAGCAATCTGTTTGCTTACATTAAAGTATCATAATAAAGTGGCCTCAGAGACATTTCAGCAAGAATTTTTACATTATTTTTTATATAGGTTTTCTTTCTTCTATTTTAACAGAGTATCACAACTATCCACAGGCACCCTCTGAATTTTCTACAGTCAAGCTTTTGAAAGATAAAAGGAGGTTCCACTGTTGAGAATATGGCCATACAAAAGGTGTTTCAGGGAATATCCAGTTCTTGCTAAGATTACACACACTCAATGACCAATGCTAAAGAGCAGATCAAACAATTCCTAATTAAGCCCTTTCAAGAATAATAAATGATGGAACTCATTGATACTGATAATATCAACTGAACATAACAGTAATAATGATATTGATAAATATTTTTATTTTTAATACAACCTTGCACCCACTTCTCAGGCAGAATTGAGAGGTTTAGACTTAGGTATTCCAGTGTACATTAAGAACTTGACAATGCAAACCAATAACAAATAGTAGAAGGAAAACAATTATACATGTTATTCATGTGTAGTAATATTCCTTTTTTTTTTGAGAGGGCATCTCTCATATTTATTGATCAAATGGTTGTTAACAACAATAAAATTCTGTATAGGGGACTCAATGCACAGTCATTAATCAACCCCAAGCCTATATCTCAACAGTCTACAATCTTCTGAAGCATAACAAACAAGTTCTTACATGGTGAACAAGGTCTTACATAGTGAATAAGTTCTTACATGGTGAACAAGGTCTTACATAGTGAATAAGTTCTTACATGGTGAACA